AATTTCAAACGAATTAAGAAAGTAAGAGGCAGAAAGTAAACTCATAAACAAAATGTGTTTTGATTACAGAACAAGAAGACATTACATGAGGACAAATCTTGGTCATTTAGGAAAATAATTTAATTAAGGGAATAAGAGGTCTATAAGCCTAGAGAGGATTCGAGGATGTCGTTTCTTTTGTTGTGGGGATTCTGTTGGTTGCCCTCCCTGTTGTTAGGATTTGGCAAGTGAAATAGATATTGGGATTAAAATACAGAAAGCAATAATGTTCGAACACCAAAAATAAAAAGTGAAAGCAATTAACTTTAAAATTTCTTCGGGGATCATCCCACTATCCTTCAGAGATTTTACATTAATAGCTCGGTTTGCACGCACAAAGTATAACTTGGACTTACAAGATTCGAGATCCCTTCTAGTCTAGCCAGCATTATACTCGAACCTATTAACTAATCCTCTGACCACAACCTTGTGGACTTCAAACTAGCTAAGAATCCCTCCCAACTATCCTAGTACTTAATCCATAAGTACGGAAAGTGTTTGTAAAAATAAATAAATAAATACAACATACATTTTCAGTGGTGTAAGCTGCTTATAGAATAACTCAAAAACAAATCTCAAAAACACTCAAAGAAGTCTTCAAACTATGATGAACTCCAATATGTGCAACAGGCTTCAATTGAGTGTTTGATACAAAATATACAATATTCTCAAGGCAAGGAGTCTTCAAGCTTCCTTCCTTTTGGAGTGGAGTCCTTCTTTTGAATTTCCAACCAAGGTCGATATCTTCATATATGAAAGTCGAGATCTTCTTGTTCCATTGTGCCTCGATCAGTTTTCTATTTTATAAGTGCCTATAGTTTCAAAAACAAAAAACGAATGTGGACAAACCCGAACAACAAAGATGGTCACCAGACCACCCCAGTGTTAGGTAATGCGGGAACTATCGTTGGTTCATCGGTCCCAGTTGCGGCTGTTGCGCAGGGCGTGCAATGGTGTGGAGTTCATAGGCGTGCGGACAACGATTGCTAACCTGCAGCAGACAGCGGCAGACACGCAATATCTTAGGAGGTACCCATGCCATCAACTTATCCATCTCGGAGAGTCGCTCACACCGTCCAAGTCCATCCATGAGGTGTATTGCCGAAGGTTCATGTCAGGATCACAGTCCCCATAGAGACCGATCTAGGGAACTTTTATTATGATGTGCATCGCCTCAACATATGAAAAGATATAGGGGAGTTCAGATTGACATAGAGAGCTGGACTGAACGTGGTAAAGTGAGATGAAAATAAAGGGTAGAGGGTTGGTGAGGCCCTAACTTCTGGCAGGCCATAGATCGGCAATATGTTGCCGCAACACCGCAATATCTGCAACTGCGTTGTTCGGAGAAGGCTTGAAAATGTTGAGGCGGTGGCAGAGATCGGTACACTTTGGATTCACGCCGAGGTGGCCGAATACTGAGGGATTGGTAGTGCTAAACCTAATGTCCAACCATCACCGTCTCACCCATGCCTTCTCTAGAGTCAGAAATAATAGTTTTTCCTTTCCCTTTGTCACTCTTACGCAGGGCACATGAGTCTACCTTATGGAAGGCTGATGGATGGGGGTAGCGGTATTGTTTGTGTGTTTGGGATAAGCTGATTTAGGGTGAATGGATTTTTATGGAGCAGGGTGTTGAAGAATTTGAGAGAAGAGGTCGGCTAACCCTTTGATAAAAATAATATTTAAAATTTTGGTTAGTATTTGTGGAGGAGTAGTTGTTGTTGGTGTTGTTAGTTACCATCACTGGAATTGCATGTGACGACATGATGACAAGTACAAAGAAACTACAAACGTAGTTTTAAATGCAAGTTGAAATTCACCAAAATTAATTTTTTGGCCCTCCTTCTAGTTAAAATTTGTTAACATGCTGAATCAACAACACAAGACCCCAATAAATATAAAGTGTAATTAAGGCGAATGAGAGGAAAGTGATATGTAATTAATGTTTTCTTTATTAAGCTTGCATGTTTTTTTTTCTTATATTTTTTGGGACGACCACGATGCGCGGGTCCAGGCAATATAGGATCAAACGACAATGTATTTTTTGATGATTTTTTATAGTTCTTATGATATATTTCAATGATATAACTTAAGAAGGTTTTCTAGAAAGAAAGTAATTTTAGCAAAATCCACAGAGTTTTTTAGTAGAAACTCTCCTTAGTATTTTTTTTTCCAAAACGATAAGTTTTATATATCCAAACAAATGTACAATAGGGGGGGAGGGGGGGTAAGTAGCCCAATGCACAACCATAAGGTTGAAAGAGAGGAACACTAACATGCCCTAGAAAAAAAAAGAACCTGTATGTAGTCCATATTCCTTGGCTAAATCAGAGCTTAGAATCCAAGGATATGTTCTTACCTGCACAAAATATCCTTACCATTCGAAAATCATTCTCGGCCACTTATTGGAATGTATTCAAGCTCATAACTCAAGCTCATAACTCCACTAGGTATCTAGGATTGCCTCTTGGCAGTCTAAGAAGGAGACATTTTCTTACATCTTTTAAATGGTTAAAAACAAACTGACCCATTGGAAAAATAGGTACCTCTCAACAGCAGGCAAGGAGGTTCTCATAAGGGCAGTGATCAATGCTCTACCAGTTTTTGCATTGGCATATTTAAACTGCCTAAGGGTATCTGTGATGAATTTAGTAGGTTGACTTCGTTTTTTCGGTGGAGCAAAGGAGACCTGCAGGACAAAGAAATCCATTGGAAGAAATAGGGTAAATTATCACAACCTAAAATTAATGGTGGGCTTGAGTTTCAGGACTATAAACTGCTTAATGAAGCTCTTCTTCTTAAACAACTCTGGAGATTCACTACCCTACCTGAGCTTCTGGTGAATGAAGTGCTCAAGTCCAGGTACTACCCTTCTTATTCCATATTTTATGTTCAAAGTAGTCATTCTGCCTCTTGGTTGTTGAATAATTGGGTGGATGAGTTATCATTATTTGCTAAAAGCCTGACTAGAGAGATAAGAAATGGTAGCCAAAGAGTTGTAGACCACAATTGGGTACCTCAGTTAGGACATTGCAGTCCTAAGATATTTGGGTCAGTGAGTTGCTTGGTGAAGATGGTTTTGGATGGAATGAAGGGCTATTGAGAGACTTGCTTACTTATAGAGAAAGGTTGACTATTGTTGAAATAAACACTCTAGACCCAGGGGAAACTGACAAATGAATATGGGACCTAGATGAGAAAGGGAAGTTTTCAGTTGCAAGATCTTATGGCCATCTGATGGAGGAAAAAATTCTAAAGATTGATGAATCTAAAAAATGCATGTCAGCTTTGGTGGATAAAGAGGTGAGAAGTAGAACTTGGAAGTTGAGGGTCATAAGGAAGTTGAAACACTTAATTTGGAAGTGTTTCAATGGGGTCTTACCAGTGAGTATCAATGTTGCAAAACAAGGAGTGAAAGTAGATTTAATTTGCAAACTATGTGATGAATAGGAGAAGTCGGCAAAGCATCTTTTTTTAAGCTGTAGAAGGGCTAAACTAGTTTGGAAGTTAACCCCGGTGGACTGGGAAGAAAGTCGCGCTGAGAACCACTTCTTTAAAAGGTGGTGGTGGCAGGTGAGATCGTGGTTCGAGGAGCTTGAAGAGAATGACAAGAGTTCGTGGTGTTGAAGTCTTAATGTCTTATTGTTGTTAGTTTGTTGTTTTCATGTTTTTTCTTTGGTTGTGTTGTAGTGTTGAGTTTGTTTGTGTGACATTTTCTTTAGTTGTATGTGTGATTATAGCGGGTAAAAGGTTCTGGTGGTTGCATCCCCGCCTTTAGCCGTTTAATCGTGATTGTTGGTCTTTAGACCACTCATGGAGTGGGTCTCCCATGGTTATGTTCGTGTATTTATTTCGGTAGTTTGTTCGAGTTTTTCGATTATTTATAAATATCTCTTGTTCGAAAAAAAAAATATAAAGAGGTTATTACAATTTATATAAGATTAAAAGTATAAAATTATTATGACTTCTTGAAGAGTCACTAGACATGTGATGTGTGTGTTTGAAGGGCCAACTGCATATAGCGTCGTTAGTGGCAACATTCCTTTTAGAGAAGAAGAAATGTGCCAGGTTCATAGGAGACAACTATTTCACACTGGATAGTGATCAACTGACATGAATGAGGGTGTGATAATTAAGCCCTGACATTAAGACCTTGGATGTAATTCTGGTGAGTGCAAAGTGTTGATCTAATGGAGGAAATGAATGCGTATAATTTTCTATAAATGGGTTCGTAGTGTTAATGATGCTCCACGTCAGCATTATTAGGGTAATTCACAAATAGTATGCATAACCAGACTTACCATATGTTTTATAAATCGATCAAATTTAGGTGATGAATATTATTAGTGTAGTAGTTTTGTGGTCTTACAATTTTCTTTTTATTTTTGATACTATATTATTGAAAAAAAGTGTAGTGTGGCGTACTATTTTGTTTAATTAGCGGGAAGAGCGTATCTTATGTCATCAAATCGTAACCTGTGCCCGCTCACTGCACAACCTAATTTTTTAATCTATATACTACTAATATTACTGTGAGTCCTTTGGTGTCTACATCAAAAACATCAATTGACGACAAACAAGCATCAGTTGACGACAAAGGTGGAGTCTTGCAAGCACTTGATCGTTGATCCTCACCACACTCCCACCCTTTATTATATTCTCTCTCTCTCTCTCTCTCTCCTCTTTCCTCTTTAATTATTATAAAAAAAAAAAAAAAGAAGAAGTTAATTTAGCCTCTTGATATACTATAAAGCTAACGGATAACAACCCCTCCTTCACCTACACTTGACTCAAAGTAGCAGCACAAGCCTTTTCCCTCTCACTCTATATATACTCCGACAGAATATCACAATATAACATCACTTTTGAACATCTCTCAATCTCTCTCTCTCTCTCTTTCTCTCTCTCACAGTACTTGTCGTCTTACTTGCTTGTCCAGTACAGTACACTCTCGATCGATGCTTTTCTCGATGGGTTACGAAGAGGAGGCAGGGGAGATGTATTCTTCCTTCGCCTCCTCATCCCCTGCATCAGTCGATTGTACTCTTTCCCTTGGTACACCTTCCACCCGTGTCTACAATCACAATCAGCGGTCTTCCTGCACCCGCAACAACAACAACAACAACAACAACATGCCAATGCCAATGCCCTCCTCCGCCTTCGGCTGGAACATCCTCCCCTCCAAGCACTCTCACTCGCACACGCCCAAGCCCCACCGCCACGATCCTCTTCTCGCCCGCCGCTGTGCCAACTGCGACACCACTTCTACTCCCCTCTGGAGGAACGGCCCACGTGGACCTAAGGTAACTTCATTCATTTCCCAATCAATTCAACCCATTAATACACGCACAAATTAATGATACTTTTAACTAATGTTGTCAGCTAATGTTGTAAACTACAATTGTACATATATAACATCACCCATATATTAATTGTGTGCGGGCGTGCGTGCGTGCAGTCACTGTGCAACGCGTGCGGTATTCGTTTCAAGAAGGAAGAGAGGCGTGCGACGGCGGCAGCCGCCCACGGAGAGACGACGTGGCCTCAAACGACGGCCGCCCCTTGCTATTCTTCTTCCCCTTATGCCGGGAATCAAGAGTTCCGTTTCGTTACTTTCGTCGACTAGAAAGAATCACTTAAAAAACAGTTGAATATCTTCCCTTACAAAACAAGCTCTATCTCTCAATTAGTTTCTAGTTTTATTAGGAAAAACCAAAAAAAAAAAAAAAAAAAATCTAATATTTTCATGTGATGTCATGACCATATATCTAAACCTCTTCTTCCCTTTTCAGCTGTATTTTATTTTATTATTATTTCTTTTGTTGGTTTCGTCATCTTAATTTATACACGTAGATCATCAGATGGAGTGAAAATCATGATGACTTACTACTGTATGCAAAACAGTTTGTCTTTCCGACAGCTCCTATTTGTTTTATGAGAATCGTTAAATCTGGTTATAGTTCGATACTATAATGCATTAATTAAACTGAATTGTTAATATTAGTGGTCGTATTAACACCCGTGTGTGACATGACAAACAACTTGCCAAATGATAACATTATTTAAATATTTGAGGACTTGTAAAATTATTGTATAAGGTCATCCACATCCCTTAACCCAAAAAATCATTCATTTAATAAAAAAAGTAACACTCTCTCTTATTCACATTATTTTTTCACTAAATTTATCTCCATTTAAACACACATCCACATTCATACCTATTCATTTAAATACATATGTGGGACTCATTATCCACTCATTCAATATAATTTTTTTTATTATATTCACAATAAAAATAAATTTTAATACTTTTAAGTTATAACAATAAATTTTAAATACATGAAAATAAAAAAATACTATAAGACCAAAATAACATAAATTAGGATTACACAAGAAAAAAATAATACAATTACAAAAATTATTATTTTTAATTGGCAAAATGAGTCCAAATATGCACAACTAAATCGACACGAAGTTGATGATGCATTGTGTTATCTCGTATTTCTGAATTTCTATGAATATAATTTTGAAATTATCGATCTTGATATTTTTTTTTTCTATTATTATGATTCGTTTTTAAGCAAATGGGTAGTTACTAAATTTTATGATGCAAGATATGTTAGAGTAGGATACCCGACGTTCCAATCAAATTGGACGTATTCTACTTGTAAATACAATCTATTGGAATTATATTAAATAATAAGGCATTACTTTATTTTAAGAGTAAGCATTTATCATATATTTGCACTTAAGATAAAATCCCTAGATCACTTATAGCTATAAGATATGGTTGCGCATAGAGATGGTGATCATGGAACATATCTTGAAAGTTGTGATCTTAAAATACAGTTCCAAGTCGTGGGATGTTTCGAGATGGGATATCGAATAAATCCGGAAAAGACTTGCACATAGTATGTATGCTTATTAGATAAGAATGTTGCATTCCATCAACATTAGCGTGGGACGCAAATACATATATATGGGTGCTTGTTAGAGAACAAGTTCACTGAACATGACCGTATGAAAATTCTTAATGAAAGTTTATCATGTCGAATAAGAATTTTTATGTTACAATAGTACATGATTAATCCTTAGACTTAAGGCACGATGGTAACTTTGTGCATATTATATTTTACTTTGATTTATCCTTTTGATTGCTAGCACAATCGTATAAAGAGATATTTTGAGTATTATATTAATACGCATGAAAGTTTGTAAGTGGTCAACAAAGGATTCGACACTTATGAAGATAAGTGAATTTCCTATGTGTTTTATAGTTAGTAATTCAAAGTCCTTGGCCAAGGCAGGATGAATAGAGATTAATAAACAAATTACTAAACTTGAAATGTAATCATAGTTATAAAATCAATTTAGGTTTCGACAAAATCATACCCAAAGATTTAATCGGGAAATTGGATGTCGAAAGAATTTTACATGTATGGATTTGTAATCGAAATAGGTTTACTCGCTAATCACTTAATACTAGATTCATGCTACTTGCTAGATGTTCCCATGATATGTGGGTTCTTGAATTAAAGAGTTAATTCAAGAATAAAATTAATAGTTGGAATTTAAAATTGGATTTTAAATTTCAAATCCAAATAATAATAAGATTATTAAATAAAGAAATGGAAGAATAGATTAAAATAATAAAGTCTTGAAAAATTGTTTTCAAGAATTATTATTTTATTATTTATCTTTAATATGATTGAAGACTAAATATTAATAAGAATAAATTAATTATGGTGGTTTGGAGTTGTTAACCAATTCACATAATTAATCTTATTTTTATTAATACAATATTGGGTAGTAATAGTCTTCTTCAAGATTTAATATTTTATGAAAATATTCTTGAAGACTTTTTATATTTTATGAACATATTTTACCTAATATTATTATTTTATACTAAAATATTTAGTATAAATATGGACATATTTGATGTTCAATTTTAGCTAAGTTTTTGGCTAAATTCTTCCAAGAGAAAAACATTCAAAGAGGTGAGTGATAAAACAAGAAAGAGTTCTTGTAAAATTTCCTTATAAATATATATTCTATACTTCTTGAAAAACCGAGTAATTTCTACTAGCGAAGAAACTATAGTCGGAACCAAAGTTCAAAAGGTGGATACGATTAGAGGGAAGACATTTGGTTTCCTAAAGTGAGTATAACCACAAGAAGTGATTGTTACCAAACCGGGAATTGATTTCCTCATACATTGTCGTTTTTGAAGGAGTTCAAGAACAAAGGTAATTTTTATAAATTACATATCAAATCAAAATTAGTAAAAGTTACTAGATTTTAAATGATGCTTATTTGTTATCTCGTTATACTTATGTACGGAATAAGTATTTATAAGATAAATATTTTAAATTCCGCTGCAAAATCTGTTCTGTACAGTATATCGAACCTGATATAGGATATTATACTGGACCCGGTTTAATGGATAAAACGGATACATATGGAAAAATAAGCCCATGTGCGGATTAAAGACATATAGCACCGCGATATGGGCCAAGCCCAACTTGGGCCCAAAAGGTACACTTCCCTTATAAAATGGGGGTTAAGGTATTCATTTCTCTCATTCTCACTATTCATCCTATACTACATCCTCTCCTCATTACATTACTACACTTTCTCTCTTTTGAGCTGAACACTGACTTAAGCATCGGAGGCCCGACGCCGGGGCCACCCCCGGCGTTGGGTTCTGCAGGTACGGAGGCCGGTTCGAGTTGAAGGAGCCTGGGTGAATCTTATTCACTTCATTGGCGCTGTCTGTGGGACCCGTAAAAAAGTCAAGCGGAGTCCCGACTGAAAAATTCGAAAACCTCCTTCTTCTCCACCGGCCGCCGCCACCGCCGGCCGCCACCTCCACCGCCGGCCACCGGAAAACGTGCTCCGATCAAGAAATGGTTGGCACCATCGGATAGATCTCTTCGAGGTGAACCTACCCTTAAAATTTCGTGCAAAAATTCCTCCGGGAAGGCCATGAATTTCGCGGTCAAAGTTTCCAGATCTAACAAAATTTTGGTAAAAATCGAGCATTCAAATGCATTTTCCCGACGATCCGTGAAGGCTATGAAAAATCCGAGGGTACACTGGAATCCTCTCGACGAGACAAATCTCCAGCTACCGACCTTCGCCGGAAACCTCCACTTCCGTCGCCGTCGGCCGCCGCCTCCGCCGTCGATCGCCGCCAAATGTTTTCCGATCTGAAAAAGGCTTACACCATCGTGAAGCTCTCGTCGAGCTTGTTCTACCCTTAAAATTTCAAGCAAAAATTTCATCCAGTAAGGTTATTAATTCGCCGGTCAAACTTTTTGGATCTTGGAACAATTAGTCAAAATCCAGTCGTCTCCCTTGATTTTCCGGCGACTTCTCGGCCAATCAGTGAAAACCGAGGGCACCAGCGGATTTCCCTCATCGGTGCGCGTCGACGGATGGTCTGTGTTGCTGGGCCCGGCGAGCTTCGGTTGCGCGCCCCTGTTTCTTTTTTCAGTTCAAAATTTACTGCTCGACGGCTGCCTCGCACGGCTTGACCAGGTTGCAAGTTCGAGTTTCACAAGCACAAGGTTCTCGGGTCCCGGGTTCCATGGTCACAAGCTTGAGATTGAGAGGTCCGAACTCGCAAATTGCAGGCTAGAGATTTTGGGTCCGTCGCGTGTTCGACCAAATTTGCAGGTCCGCTCAGAAATCGAAGCCCGACAGCTCGTTTGGGTTCGAGAATTCAAATGTTCAAAACTCAAGGAGATGTGGCTCGCAGGCGCTCTTTTGAGGTGTATCGGTTGCTGGCCATTCTCACCGACATCAGTTTTTCTGGGCGACTCAAGCTCGTCGCTATCTCGACCAGGAGGTGTTGTCTACCCGACGTCCGATTGACCAAGGTGTGCTGCTCGAGCGAGAAATTTCGATCGACCAAGACAAGGTTCGAAGTCTGTCGCCCTTCCAACATCACGTTTTGCATCTGCTCGAAGGCTGTTCGAGGAGGAATTTTGCTCGAATAAGGAATTGTGCTCGAATGAAGAATTTTGCTCGAAAGAGGAAATCTGCTGGACTGAGGAATTTTTCTCAACTGGGATGCATACCTGCTCGAGGGAGAAAGGAGATCTGCTCGAGAGGAAGAAGGGAAGTTTGATCTGATCGAGAGAAAATCAAATCTGCTCGAGAGGAAGAAGGGAAGTTTGATCTGATCGAGAGAAAATCAAATCTGCTCGAGAGGAAATCTGGCCCGTCACAAGCAACGCCCAACCTGCGTCTTCTGCAACATCCGACCTGCGTCCAACCAATTCTTCAGCCCACGAGCGGTCCAAACCTCCATGGCATGGCCCACTACTCCGACAACCCGTTACCTTGGCCCAAAAGCGAGCTTTATGCGGCCAATACCTTATAAGTGGCCCAAATGGTATCCAAATGTAGCCCAGTGAACTAAAACATCCCCATTTTGTACCCATGACCAATTTGGGATGATTAAAAGCGAAAAGAAGGTAAATTTTGGGAATATTATCGAGATGAAGGTACGACGCTCATTTAATTTATGGACTTGAGGTTTTAAATTGAAAAAAGTGGATTATTTGATTTAAATCGAAAAACTTGGAGGCTTGAAGATTCAAATTGGCGAAAATTAAGAAC